CCATCGTTCAAATTGATGTTTTTCTGCAACCATCCGCTTTGCGGTTGCAGGGTTGGCGCAAGACGTGGGGCTATGGTGGCCACTGCGCTTTTCCAAAAGAGGGAGAGGCCAGAGACCTGCTTGTCCCCAGAGGAGTACCTGCGAGGCTTCCCTTGCGATGATAAAGACGAACGCCTGTGCCAGGTTAGAAGCTTTAAGCGCTGCTAATGGATTGTCAGTGGAAAAGATTTGATTACATGTGTGTTTGTGTCTCTGTGTGAGAGATAGCGATTGCGTGAGTGTGTGAGCTGTGGCATTTCAGTCCACCCCACGAGCCTTAAGACTGTTAAAGTCAATTTCTCGTCACCTAGATGGTGGAGGATGGAAGGCTTGAACCTTATAATGAGATCGTGTTGCGGACGAACGTGTATTTTGCCGAAGTTTCGGGTGAAGAGTTCCTTGAAAAGGTCAACGTTACCATTGAACATCCTGATTGCCCTCACCTGTACACACGCGTTGGCGATCACTGCTTGTCCATCTTTTTCTTTGGACTGGTGAGTTTATTTGCATTTTGTTTGTATCTTAATGGGCATGGTATGGCAGTTATTCTCCCTCTCTCTCTTCTCTCTATCCCTCTCTCTCTCACTCTCTCCCTCCGCTTCCTTCTCATCTCATCTCTCTTTCTTCTTTCTTTCTTTCTTTCTTTCTTTTTCTTTCTTTCTTTCTTCTTCTCTCTCTCTCTCTCTCTCTCTCTCTCTCTCTCTCTCTCTCTCTCTCTCTCTCTCTCTAACACACACACTCTCTGCGTCTCTCATCTCTTTTCTCTCTCTCTTCGTCTTTCCCCTCCTCCTTTCTTTTACCCTGCTTTCTTTATTTAGTTTAGTGCGTACACTCGCATGTGCTTACCTATAGACTCATCATATCATTTTCACTCATACCCCCCCCCCCCCCGTAACACTTTGCAGGTCAACTGGGGAGAAGCTCGGGCCTTCTGCAAGATGAATGGCGGCGACCTTTTGTCCTTTCAAGATGGCTTCGAGAACTTCTACGAAATCACCCGCCACCTTCACGAGAACAGTCAGTAAATGGTCTGGGTTGTT